ATGTTTTGGAGTGATCTGGCACTGTAAAGTCTGAGTGCCCCTTAGCGTTTGCCCTGTTAATTACCCATATAGTGGCTTACATAGTCTGAGAAATCAATAAATGCATGTCCGACTTCCACTTTCGCTATGGCCCCTGTATACTTACATTGTATATACCGTGACCTCAGCATGAGCCCCAGGTGCTCTCCCGTGACCAGCGGTACGTGACCGTTCAGATGCCCAGCCGTGAGGCAGCGTTTCCGTTGAGCCGTATCCCTAAAACCTAAACCCTGGAGCAGAAACTCTCAAATCTTAAGCTGAAGCCTTAGAAGCCAGTAGAGCAGGCCTTATTCTTTACGATTCGGGGTTCACGGTATCGGCTTCGTTGGGTTTCCTCCAGGTTTCGAGTTTCGGGGCTGAGGGTTCAGGGCTTGAGGCTTTAGGACCGACGTTTCGTTTTTGTTGACGGGCTTGGTCCCCACCCGTTCGTGTTGAAGTAAACTTCGGGTGTACAGTGTAGAGTCTATTTGAACAGCATCCCGTGCATGTTTTCAGACTGTGGTTCAGGGCCGAGGCAGCGTTGAACCCAATTCTCAAACCCAAAGCCCAATTGCGGCTTTGGTGGGTCCGCGGTTTAGCATACAAGCCGCATGGCCTGGAAGACGGCAATAGCTTCGATTCAAGGGTGAGAAAGGTAAGTATTTATACTTTGAAAATGTACGAGCCAATGTTGCTGCTTGGTATCACTTTGGGCTCCCAGAACCCAGGCCAGAAGGCCATCTAGCCCTCAGAGCCACACCATAGCGGAAACCGAAGCAAGCTTAGCACCCGACAGCAAGTCTCCACTTCCCAACGCATGCAGGTGCGCCTCATCAAGAAGGAATCTTGGTGCACCATCGGCAAGGCCGGGTGCTCATGCGATCGCCGGGTAGAGGGCAGCAGGAGAAGTGGAGCTGTGACGAGTAGAGCCCGACTGTCGCAGACCTTCGTCTATGACCGAAGTCCAACAGGTTGGCGAGATGAGGGGTTTCACTTGAGGCTTCCTACGTTCAACCATTTAATCTGAACCTAAACCCTTGAATCGTAAACCCTCAAGACCCCAACCCTAAACAACAATCCCTAAGCCCAGATTCCCTTGAACCCGTAAATCCCCTAAATCCTCAACCCTAAACCGCCTAAACCTTTAAATCCTGAAGAGCAACATCAAAGCAGTCGAGGTCGGACGCCCCGAGGCACAGCTGATCAAGCTGGGTAAGGCTGGATCCATGAGACCCTTCCTTGGAGGGGGTTTATGGTTTGGGGCTCCTTGTTTGGATCTATAGGTTTAGGGGTTTGGGGTTCAGGGTTCAGACTTTATTTAATGCGCCGAACCCACGCCTCAGCCCTCACCCCCAAACCAAACCCTAAACCCGAAACCCAAGCCCTAAACAACCCCGAAGGCCGGCAAGAAGCGCCACCTCGGATTCACGCCCCACGTGCGCGGCAGCGCCAAGAACGCTGCGGACCACGCACACGGAGGAGGAGAGGGCAGGCCAGAGCCTAGGGTTCTTTCAAGGGTTCCTTTAAAGGGTGCTGTGAGGGTTCTATAATCGGGTCCCCATAAAGGATGTCAGATTTGTCCCCCATAGGGTTATGGGCGGGAGGGGTTGTTGGGTGAGCGTCTGTGTATAGGGCTTTAGAGGCTTGCTATAAGATAGTTGTAGGACTGTCGATGGTGTTTGAGCTTCGAAGAACTTTATGATGATGGAGTTTCAACTTGCGGTTAAATGTAGGGTGCGACGGCGACATCATCGTGCTCGAGACTTGACACGTGTGGTTGTCGTTTCCCCTGCTTGGTGTAGTTGCCCAAGTGAAGTCCAGCGCTTGGGCCTTTGATCATGAGCTGAAACGAAGCAACAAGGGGAGGGTGTTCGAATTAAGGGTCGCCAAGAACCGATAACATGGAATAGCAGCTTACTGCAATAACGGCTCCAAGAGGTACCATTATTTATAACAAGTTATATCGCAGAAGTAGCTACGACTGCTATGGTTCGAAGCCCTAGCCCTCAAGTCACAAACGAGGGGACATTGGTTATGAATGTCATTCGAGTGGGCCCGCAAGCTTAGAGCTTCGTACAGGTCGCCAATTGGACACCGACACCCAAAGACCAAGTTCGGCAAGTGGGGAGCCCAGCCAGCTGGGGGTTTTGGGGTTTAGACCTGCGCGATGCCGCGAAGGGTTGTTGCAAGACCAGAGTCCTCGTCATCAAGGTCGTGGTAGTGATGGAACACAACTACTCCTTTAAGCGACCATGTGCAGATGCAAATTCCAGATCCAACGCTCATGATTGGATTACGTATGTGATGCTGCTCATGCTGTAAGCTAACATCCGGCATCATTACTCAATATTATCGTCAGTATGTGGTAGGAATCGTAACAGCAGCAGCAATAGGAGCAGTAGTAGCAGTCGTCGTCCTCGTGGTGGTGGCGATGGTGGTGTACCAGCAACGAAAGCAGTGCCAACATGAATATTCGCAACTAGTAGTCGTCAGTTGTACTAAGCCCTAAACCCGGAATGCAACCGAGAAAGCGTGACGTCGGGCCATTTTGTATTAGAACAGGGTCTTGGCGGTTCCTCATTATAATTATGGTATAATATACCCCAAACCCTATTCTAATCACTAAGGCCCCTACATGGCTTCAGCCGTTTGAACAGTAGCTTCAAGCCCTATGCTGAGCAAGGTGCGCACATGGTCTTCGAACCAGGCGGACACAGTACTCGGACAGGCAGGATTTTGTCAGTTTGGTGGTTGTGGTTTTTGCGGTTTGACTTTAGGACTTAAGTTCGGGGGTTGGTTTTTAATTAGGTTTCCGAGTTTCATCAGTTTGCACCACACCATGCTCGAGATGAAGCACACCCTGTGCCGTTTGCGCCAAGGTAGCTGCCATCTGCATGTGTAGGAAAGTCGTTCGGGTGATCCAGGATGATCCTCATCCACCGCAAGAAGAAGAGTGGCCGCGCCTAAGTGAGGGAAGCAACCGAATCTTCCAGCGAGCCTATCATTTTGTTTAGCACTTTGACGGTTTCACATCATCGCTCCATAGTTTCAGTCTGCTGACTGGGCATGCTGGTTAAAGTGAAACATCTGCAGATCCGCCCCGCGAACACCTGTTCAGCCTATCCCGTTGCTTTCCTTCTGCGTACTTGTCCATGACACACTTCATGCATAGTATGAGTGACAATGGCAGATACCGCGAAACAACAAAGAATGTGGCGGCGGAGCTGCATAGAGGGCAGTCTGGCCTTCGTCACTCGCGTCTTCATCGCAAGATGCCAAAAACTGAGTTGCGTGGCAGTGTTCCTGGTGTTGTGGATATATATATATATATATATATATATATATATAGATACGTATATATATATATATGTATATATATAAGCCATAGACAGCCGAGGGTCGGATGACATGACGGGACTTCAGAAGCCATACTTCACACCCCCATGACCCTGCTTGTGACAGCCGGACTCAATGCATCAGGGCTACCCTCGTGCAGCTGGCTGGAACCGCAGCAGCTGCAGGAGGGTAGCCCCGGCAGCAGCAATGGCAGTAGGAGCCGTCGAGGGTGCTGTCGCCATCGTCGTGGGAGGAGCAGCAGCAGTGCCGGTGGACAACTGCACGCTTCTTTACCCAGCAAGGGTTCTGTTCAGCTGTTCAGCCTTGTAGGAATCTAGGGCACATCTGGCAGCAACGACAATGGAGATTGACAGCAGAAGCATGCTTTCATTCATCAACAATGCCAGAATCCGCACATCATATCCGATATCGTCGTCACCATCGTCGTCGTTGTTATCAGCAGCTGCTTCATGTTGTTTTTCCTCATCGCACTCATCCTTAACATACATGTCCAAGCTCCACTGTGATCCTCGTTGTCACCATCCGGGCCACGACCCGCCCTATCCTCTTCACCACCATCACCATCATCATCAACAGCACCAGAAATACCACTGTGACTGAGAAGGCCTACTGGGTTGGCAGCAACCAGCATAAACAACAGGCACGAGCATCTGCAGCTAAAAATCACCCCAACTCTCCGTCGTTGGCCGTGTGAATGCATGTCTCTGCTTGCCTCGGACTTTGGGCTCACTGGACTTTCCTCGGGCGGCTCCCAAGCAAGTTTGAAGATTCGTCCGATCCTGAGCGGGTGAGGGCCAAGGGCCAGCTTCAACCAAGACCATCAACCCTGAAGTTCCAGATTTCCACAGATTTCCCAACCTCCAACATTCCGAAGTTTCAGCTTAGCCAGAGTTAGTGCTCGTCGCAGCTGTGGGCACTGTACTTTTGTTGCTCATTTCGCCATGCGTCTCTTGGGTACTCAGCCTACGTTTTTACAATCCCTTTCAAAAAGAGGTCTAGTGCCGATAGCCCAGATGCAGAGACATTAAAGTTACATTGCAACAGCAACATGCCCAACAAGAGAGCAACTGCAACACCGCAAGGGCTGCAGACAAGAATCACGAAAAGAGGGTCGCAAGAATCGTAGCAGTCACGATCTCTGTCATTGCCACATATAAGGCTGGTCAAACGTAAGTCCACATCAGGACGGCATCGTCCGTGCCAGCCGTGCAGGACCATGCTGGGCGGGAGACTGAGCACGGAACACTCATATAGGGGCTTTAATAGTTGAACTTTAATAATTAGAAGAAAAGGGTTTGGGGTATTCTGCTATAGCTGTAGTAAGGAACCCCCACAACGCTACTATAATTATTCAATCCCCTACAGTTTAGGGTTTAGGGGTTCAGGGTTCAGAGTTACGAGTTTCAACTTCAGGGCTTTTGGCCTGGGCCTCTAGGGATCCGAGGCTTTGGCCTTTTTGGTTTCGGAGTTTAGGGGCTTGGGGCTTTAGGGGCTGGGTCTAAAGGATTTCCTTTGTTCAAGCCCCCAACCCTTCATCCCTCACCGAAACTCCGCAGACCAAACCCTCCAACCGGTCTTTGGGTTGATGCCCCAAGCCACTGGAAGGTATACTAGGCTCCTTTGGCATGGGCTTCATGTCCAAGGCAGGACCAGCAGCTGAGCGCTCGGGGTTCTAGATCTGGTTTCGACCTCTTTCCAACACCAGAAATGCCTTGGGGTCCTCTTCGAGGGGTCCGTCTACCAAGGATCCATACGTAGCTTTTAGGGATTGGTCGTGAACACCAACTGACAAACACAAGCATAATCACCGCAACGAGAGCAAGCATCAGTACGGTTTGCTTGCATCTGAAAGACTGGGCGTTGGCACCAGCGCTGGGTAATTATTCACAATGCCGACATCTTGAGCCATACAGTTAGCCCCAATGACAGCAGTATAGTTGTATACTTAATACCGAGATACCACGGATAGAAACAAGAGCGGCCACGGCTTTGGTGTTTCGTGTCAGGCGTTTGGGCATCTGTGGGGAAGTATCAGCAGCATAATGCGGTACTACAAGGGTACCACAGCCATGCTTCAATGGTTTCTGTAAGTGTACTCTGATGTAGTACCCTTATCGTAGCAGGTGGCACCGGCAGTCTTGCAAGCAAAGCAACGTATGATCCACAAACATGGCAGCTTCAGAGCATTAGGACCCTCTCAACAGCCCGAAATCGCACGATCAGCATTTTTAAAGATCCGGACACGGGAAACTTACTTTGTTCAAACCCCCATTGCTCAGCAGCTGTTTCAGCAGTAGGCTAGAAGTGATCGGCAAGAAGCTAAGTGCACTCATTGCAGGAGAAACCCAATAGATTGTGTAGCAGCATATGATGTTTATTGTGGGACATATGTCTACATACACATATACATGCGTGGATGTTGTGCATGATTTCACGTGGTTTCTATAAAGATGTATAATTGCATGCGTTGAACTACATGCAGCATGAGGGGACCAATCGTCATGCTACGTCGGGTCGTTTCAGGGTTTAGGATTCCGGCGATGGACAGATCAGCACGTCGCAAGGTACATATAAGGCATGAGGTATCTAGCCTGCTTTCTCTGTCGACCACCACTTCTTCTATATACTTAAAGTTGAACCCTAAACACTCTAAACCCCTAAGACCCTAAAAGCCCTAAAGCCCTACACCCCTTAAAACCCTGCGACTGCTTCTTAGCCTTCTGTGCAAGCTACAATTCTGCCATGGTCTGGAGCCGCTTGCTGCGTGCATTGCCTCGCCGGTGTCTGGGTATCACTGGTATGGTAGGGAGTAGGGTATCTTTAGGGTACCGTAACAAGGTAGTAGAGTAGGGTATCTTTAGGGTACCATAACAAGGGTATGAAAAAGGGGGTAAGATAAGGGGTCACTAGTATGGTAGGGTAGTAGAGTAGGGTATCTTTAGGGTACCGTAACAAGGTAGTAGAGTAGGGTATCTTTAGGGTACCATAACAAGGGTATGAAAAAGGGGGTAAGATAAGGGGTCACTAGTATGGTAGGGTAGTAGAGTAGGGTATCTTTAGGGTACCGTAACAAGGTAGTAGAGTAGGGTATCTTTAGGGTACCATAACAAGTGTATGAAAAAGGGGGTAAGATAAGGGGTCACTAGTATGGTAGGGTAGTAGAGTAGGGTATCTTTAGGGTACCGTAACAAGGTAGTAGAGTAGGGTATCTTTAGGGTACCATAACAAGGGTATGAAAAAGGGGGTAAGATAAGGGGTCACTAGTATGGTAGGGTAGTAGAGTAGGGTATCTTTAGGGTACCGTAACAAGGTAGTAGAGTAGGGTATCTTTAGGGTACCATAACAAGGGTATGAAAAAGGGGGTAAGATAAGGGGTCACTAGTATGGTAGAGTAGTAGAGTAGGGTATCTTTCGGGTACCATAATAAGGGTATGAAAAAGGGGGGAGGATAAGGGGTCACTGGTATGGTAGAGTAGTATAGTAGAGTATCTTTTGGGTACCAGAAGGCTACGAAAACGGGTACTATAATAATAAGGGGTCGTAGCACTAGCAATACAGCTGCTGCACTGGCAAAGTATAGTAAGTTGCACGAGCTTCTGCAGAATAAGACTAGCGACGCTACTAACATGCACGTGGCAACAGTAGAGTCTGACTGCCGTCGGGGGACGGCCGAGGCACAAGAGAGAAGTTAACCTTTTGCAACTCGGTCTTCAGCGCTTGAGCCGACTTCGACGCCGGGTTTATGATTTATGGTTTAAAGTGATGAGCCGCATAAGCATATTGAAATGAAGGTTGGCTGGATAAAGGGCGAAAGGTCGTTTCGGCCAGAACCAGAGACCCGGACATAGTCAGAACTAGGACCTGAAACGCCCCTGGAGGCCGATCACCAAGGGTGCACAGGCGGTTTTATGGGGCGTCATAACAATTCCCGACATGTTCAGAACCCTTCAAGACTGTTCTGTTGCAGGACGGTGAGGTCGCAGCGAAGAACCTCGAGGCATAAGATCATACAATGCAAGGTTTAGGGTTTGGAGTTCAGGCTTTAAGGTAAAATGTGAAGTTTCAACTATGGCACTTCTCGCTTCGCCGAGGCGCCTGGGCGCGCAAGCTGCAGCTGCTGCCGGTGCTGCTGCCGCAGCGGCTGGCCTGGCAGTCCGCTGTGAAGCTGAGGACAAGGCTCGCATTGGGGATCGCCGTTCGTGGGTGTTAGGATAGTAGTTATGTAGCTCAATGTTTCGGAGAGTATATGATTATTATGTACTTGGACCCTTAGGGAAATTCCTTGACAAGAGCCGGGTTTGGGCGTTCCAGAGTTTCGGGCTGCACAGGCAGAGTCTTGAGCATTGGTAATGAGGCCGACCAGAAATCTTCAGGATCTGTGCTTGCGGGTGATAGGACACGAGGCCCTCGGGCGAGAAACACGGTCCTGAAAGTTTCCCTGAATCCTAAACTCTAGCTCCCGAAAGCCTCAGCCATGCAAACTACAAGCACAAGCCGAATTCAGCCATAAGCCTGTTCGCCTCTTCAGCATTAAATGCTTCAGCCCAAAACCTTGACACCCCCGCCCCTCACAAAAGCCCTGACTTGAAGACCCCGTCTAGAACCCTCCCAAAACTCCACCATAAAGGCCCTATAAAGCTCCAAACCCTAAAACCCTAAACCTCTTAAACCCTTAAAACCCTAAAGCCCGAAGCCCTAAAACCCCGAAACCCCTAAAACCGTAAAATACCCTAAAACCCGAAGCCCAAAACCCCTACACCCTAAAATCTTAAAACCCCAGAAACCTTAAAAAAAAAAACCGTGCTGCAGAGGTGGAGCGACTCCAGAGCTGGGAAGATCGCTGGTCAGTGAATCGGAGCATCTTCGGAATTTGGCGCAGCGGGGGGGAGGGGAGGGGGAAGAGGGGGTTTAGGGTTTGGGGTTTAGGGTGTGGGGATTGGGGGAGTGTAGGATTCCTGTGAGGCTATGAGAAGATTAGGAGGCTTACTCTATGTGATCTTTCGAGTTTAGGGATGTTGGGGTTTAGGGGTTTAGTTTCAGCGTTGCAGTTTTCTTAGGTGCGGGGGTTTCGTGTAGGGCTAGTTTGTGTTCGGGGTTCAGCGTTTGGGTTTTGGGGTTTGTGGCTTAGGCCTTGAGGTGTAGAGGTTGGTGTGTGGGGCCGAGGATTTAGAGTTCAAGTAGGCCTTTAGAGGTTCGAGGTATCGGTGCAGGCACTGGCATTTCTGGAAGCACCTATGCCATTGCGAGTTTCAGAGACTACTGCAAGGGTCCTAAAGAGCGAGGCTTACAGTGTGTGTGGTTGGCACATGGGGTGGGACTCTTGGGAATTGGTCAAACGAAAGCCGATTGCCAAGCCTCGGACACAGCGTGTTAAACCTCTTCAGATTGGTGCGTCTGTGTGTGCTTGCTTCGAGGCCAGTTTTGTTTGTAAACCAGGGAACTTAACATCTACACACCAAAGGCCTACAGCATTGAACCTTAACATCCTGCCCTACACCCAGAACCCACGAAGACCAGATTGATTTGGAGTATCTGTTTGCAAGCTGAGGGATCATGCCTGGGCTTCGGCCTCAAACATGAATGTATGCTTGGAACCCAGCAGGCTTCGGTTGGGCCACATCACAAACCTAAGCAGTGACTCCCAGTAAGGATCAGCTGGCATCTGGAAGATGCACCTCTGCCGCAGCATGGCGTGTTGTCGACAGAAAGCCCACCGAGTAGCAGGGTTCACAGAGGCAACATGGTGGGCATATACGCGTGTACACATCTATCTATCTGTCTCTCGGTCTCTCCGTCTCTCTTTCTGTTTATCTATCTGCCTGTACAGGTGCATGTAAGTATGTAGAAAGCGTGTGTGTGTGTGAGAGGGAGAGAGGGAGAGAGAGAGAGAGAGAGAGAGAGAGAGAGAGAGAGAGACTCTCTATTACAGAGTAAACATACACACATGTGTATATTGTGTGTTCATGTAGGAGGCCCGGCGCAATGAGATCTCAAGCGACTGAGCTGTGTCTCCTAGTCGAGAGCCCAACAATGGCAAGGCCAATCCGCACCTGCAGAAATACCTGACCAAGATCATCGACCCAGCTGCATCTGTAGCAAATGGAGACTTTACCAGCATGTGGTTGCGGCACTTGCTTTCATGGGACTGGTCTACGTGATGGGGTGAGCCCCTCCGACCCTGTCGAAGGCCAGTCAGTGTTGCCGGAGAAGCAATTGGAAAGGAGCTATGCTTAGAACAGCACTGAGTGGAGTAACTAGTCGCGTGTCGTGCAAGACTGTTGCGACTGCATCCATGACGAGGGCAAGACAGCTAGAACTCGTATCAACTAGACAGGCAGCGAGGGCATTTCATTTTTCGGGTACAAGCTTCCTTGCTCAGGAATGGGCCCTCGAATACTGGTACCCCTATGCGGAAAGACGGTGGATGCCTGGTCACAAGCCATGGTTTGTTGATGTCTCGTGTTGTGAGCGCGGTATTTGCAATAGGGCAGCGGAGTTTCATGGATACTGGGCTTCAGGCCAGTTGATATTTTGCGGCAGGGTTCCTCAGTCGCCGCCTTCAATTCTTCGAACAACCTTCCGGATTCCGCACGGCGTTGAAGCCGGGACCCGAAGTTACCCCATACTGGGCTTCGGAAACCTG